TCGAACCGTCGATTTTCAAGCAGAGACAGATATCAAATTTTTTAAAGATCGTCTACGTGACATCGTCGAGTTAATCAGAACAGGGTCTTCGATAGACACTACCAATGACTCTTCAATAGCCTCCACGACTTAGGTCTTTTCTTTTCTTTTTTTTATCCTTGAGTCTCACACTTTCCCAGAAATACCTTATTTGCTCCAGAAACCCCACACCTAGCTCACGATTTACCAGGAATCGTCCTTGGCTCAATTCAGAGCAACTGCAAGGCGAAATTTTTTTGAGATCTCTAAAATCCTGCCAGAACCTCCGATCTGGATCTAAGGTTTAGAAGAAGCAATATTTGTTGTTTAGGGCTACCCATGCCCAATGTGGCACCAGGCGCTTCCATCCACAAATCATGGAACTCATCAGAGGACCCTATTCAATCAAAAACGGTCTTCCAAAAGATCATATCAATTCCGACTTCACCTCTCTCGAAGCCCTCACGGATCAAGCAATACAAGTATTTGAAAATCTACACGATAATAATTATAAGGGCAACCAGTTTATACTCGTCAGACATGACCCCAAGAAAGTAATTCTGAAGTCGGCGGATAGAATTTGGAACCTTGATGCTATTCCATTTCGTTTGGTAATTACTCGTTGAGCTAAAAGACTATCTTGACTACCAGCTTTCAGTCATGAAATTAGCCTCCTAATATATCTCATTCCTAGACATTCGGTTCCCTGGCGGCCTGATGTTCGAAACAGAGGTGTGGTCTAATAACCAAGCCAAGTGTACTGGGTCCGACAGGAATGGGATAATACAACTGTCTTGATCAAGGTTATGCCTGGATCTAATCATGAGTTGCCAACAAGAAGATTAACGTCAAAGCTTGAAAATATGGCTGATCGAATAGGTACTTCTTTTTCCGCCCTTGACCCAGCGTCATTTGGCCTCACGAACTAAATGGCACAAACTCAGGTCATCACAGGGGGAGCAACCAGAACTCAACATCGTCCTAAATGTGCTTTGTCCAGGTCCTTTGGGGACTCTCCAATCTGGAGTGGACATATTCCTGCGCCAGGTGATATCTTGCGTTACATGCCTTTAGGGACAGACCCTGTATTTGACGTACGAATGGATTATTTTCTTGCGGCAAGCTGAGAAAGCGTCAATGGGGCCTCGAATATGACCTTATCATTTAGCACAATGCCACTGCTGCTTCTAATGTTGCTGAAATTATACAGCTTTCGTCGCCTCCACATGAGATATCTACTGGCGAAGAGGTCGTTACGGTCGTTTCGGTGCCGGCAGCCGGGGTTTTTGTTAAAGATGTGCGATTGAGAACTCATTGAGATATTCGACAAGCTGCGCCACACAATTATTTTCAACTCTTCCCGTGGTGAATCTATAGTACCTGGTGTTCGTGATGCGTATGTTGCCCTCCCGTCAGATCTCGGTTGATCGTCCCAAAACTTTTCAATGGAGAAGTTTGCGAAGAGCAAACTGCTCTAGATGCATTCTCGTGGGATTCTCGATTCAATAATATGATCAGATATATCGTTCAAAGTTTGCGGATTTGTGACATACGTCAAAACCAAGCATCAGAAGAACATTGACTCAGATGAAGAAAAATAACATATTTTGAGAGCAGGCGAATGCTCGAGAATCCTTTTAGACACTGGCAGTTGCAGAATAGGTAATTTTTGCAAGACCTAGATCGGTAAAGATTCTATAGAATTCCCTTGACTGACTAAACAATAGGACACCAAAATTCCACGGGGCGTTCACCCGACTGCCGTCGAAGGAGATGCCGCGGCTGTTTAGCTCCACGCCTTCCTGGGCCGCGAGGACGAGGAGTGCGGCGAGACTAACCTGGTACGGTGCTTGGCTCTGTCGCTGGCGACTTGTGATCGTTACCAAAAAATGGCAGCCCTACGATCCCAGGACATCATCAAAACACCGATTCCAGATCTGAAAGTAGGCGCATATCATACTACGAGCAGCGCCTTACACGATCTTAAGTTAAATGGAGATTTGGAGTCCTGGAGGAGGGCTTCGGGAACAGTGCGGCTTCGACCGGTGATCAGAGGAGATGAGGGCCAAGGTACGCCTGGGACACACCGAGGTCTCCGTGGTCATTCGTTCGGAGATGAAATGGCTCGCGTTCCTCAAGGAGGATCTTGGTGATGGAGTGTGTTGGGTGCAGGTTGTCCTAATGGATACGGTGGACGCTGAAATGACGGACGCTTGGTCTGCCGATGAGCCGAACGACAGTGACGACCCAGGTCCGTTCTCTCTTTTTGGCTGAAAGGCTGGTCAAGCAAGAAGTAACAAGGAACGGGAACGAGAGAACAGGTGGGAAAGGTGCTTAAGTATTGAGGAATCCGAGCTAGGTACGCCGACAGATCGACTGGCAGGTTCATCCAGGGGGGTATATACCCCGATACAATAACCCAAGCCACCACCACGACTACCACCACCAACGGCCAGACAAGATTAGTCGGCGAGTTCAAGGTTCCATGGAATACACCCCTGCAGCGTCAAGATAGGCAACTTTGAGACCTGGGTAAGTCAATATCGCTATTAATACTATCAATATCTGTTCTTACACTGTCCAGAACAAGTAGTGAAACACCTCGACTAGTATGGATGCAAGGAAGGGTTTGCTTGCTCCCACAAAGAAGCCATCTTCGTCAAACGTGCTGGCAAGTTTCCCCTTGCGATGTCCCATAGAAGGTCAATTCGCACCCTCCTACCAGTCATAATGGGACTCATTGCGATGGCCCGCCGGATGGGATCATTGGTCGACGATTCGAACCCGGAGCTCGCATCAGTGATGAAATCCGACAGTACACGCGAGAACGGCCGATGTTTACTTTCCCAAGAGGCTACAAGCCCTCCACAACCGCCGGTTCAAAACCGATCAGCACCCAAAAAAGTGGGAGTGTCCACATTGCATGTATGTGCTGTGTCTATCTGGAAAATATGGAGTAGTTTCGCAGATTGGATCACCGCACTTTATCAGACAAAAAGACTTACCACGGCATCTATACCATTATTGAAGCCATTCAAAATCTTCCAAAAGCCAGGCGCAAATATTACCGTACATGCACGGTATACAAGCAAATGCTGGCAATGCAAAGTGATGTTTTTCCTCTCCATCGAGCAAGTCCTCGAAATACACACATTTCATCAATCGCACTATTCTTGACAAAATGCCTTTTTCATTGACTTCGTTTGATCTCGAAAGTGAGAGCAAGAATCTCGTTCTGTTGTTGCCCGCATATCTACGACCGGGGTCTCAGGTACATTGGAGTGGCTTTGAAATAGTCTTGTATGGACGCGTCATTCTTTTTCCGGAAACAGCACAAGCAATCTCTATTACGGTCAGAAAATATTATTGTCCAATTCAGAAAACAAGAAACAGCGGTTACAAAAGCCACTGGGACAACAATTCGATGACAAATCCGAGAACGTACGAGGATGACGAACATAGATCTAAGCTCATATGGGATCTCAACAAACGTTGCACCATCCTATAGTTCGCTCACTTAGTTTCAATCTCCATTGAGATAGGCTTATACGTCCAGATCGGCAAAAAATGCCATGTTTAGTGGTAGAAGCAGGCTGGTCAGAAAGCTGGCCACATCTACGCCTATGGCTAGTCGGCGGTAGCCCGCACGTTAGAACTGCCATTGCAATCAGGTGGACAAAAATTACGAACAAGCGCGTGAAAGGAAATATCAAGGTGTTTGAACCGAGCGCAGTAGCAGCAACGGGGTATATCGTCGCCCAAGAGGAAGTAAGCTCAGTTGATACCAAAAACCCGTTGATACCTTAAACAAGTCTAATAGAGAAAGACCATTTTTCCTGCATCCGCAAACGCACAGTCCCAAAAAAGGCTTTCCTCATTCGACAATCATCAGGAGCGGCCAGGATGATGAAAACAGAGAACCTTATGCTAGTTAAGACGGCATGCTCAGATGGGATAAAAGAGACCCACGACCCGTCCTCTCTAAGTGTCATACCTCTCTCTCTCTCCGTCTCTCCGTCTCTCCGTCTCTCCTGTCTTCTGCCTTCTTCCCTCCCTATCTCTCTCTCTCCTAAGATCAAGTATGCTCCGGAGCGCCAGCCCTACCTCCGGTATACCTAAGGTACAGGATCGGGTTCGTGTACTGCAAGGAGACCACCTCATACCATCCTTCTACCACCCGAATGCCCCCACCCAAACCCAACGCATTGAGGCGTTCGGCCACCAAGTTACGGACTCCTCATAACCACCGTCAGGTACATCACCCAAAATCGAATGCCGGCTGAGCCCCACAATGCTCAGAATATCTACACGCTGTTGACAAGGTTGTACGCCAACCTCGGACGTATCTTGGACGAGGAGTTGTTCGAGTCACCCATCCACATAGCGACTGAGAGGGACACGGTATACAAGCGCAACAATTCGAGGCTTCTAATGTCTTTGGTCATTAGATTTACTAACAAATGGCCATGATGACTATCAGCGCATGAAGTCAAACTCCAAGCGCAAGCCGAAGCTAAAGCAAAGTGAGCACAGCCGACAAAAAAGAGAATACCATGGAAGCCTAGGGCCCAGGCTGCGGCCTTGTTTTTTTCTTATGTTTTGTGAATGATAACTTCTTCATCTTGCTTTCAGAACACGAGCATTATAGCATTCCAAAATACTTCAAGAACACCGCTGTCAGTGATTCTCGTGAAAATCAAGCCCAATCACTTACCGCTTGATACAGCAGAATACCTAGGAAAGGCATGAAATGAAGGCCTTTTCATCAAACAAGTTCGGAAACGCAGGGTCAAGACAGATAAGCTTAGGATGAAAATGCAACGGTAGTTTATTGACATTGCTGCAAGTTGAACAATGATATTTCGAGGCTGAAGCTTTCATGGTATATAGAGGCGTGCTAAAACTCATCAAAAAATCCACTCAGGCCAATGACATCTATATACTATTCTCTTTCAATCCAACTCTCTCTCAACTCTGGACAGTCAAACAGCCTTCAACCTAATCAACAGCCTCCCATTCTCATCTCCGGGCCTCGTAGCCAGTCTCCCTCTCACAATCACCCTCCCCTGATCCTCAGCCCTGATATCCATCTCAAACGCTTGCACAAAAGCCGCCACCATGGCTCTCAATTCCACTTTCGCATAATCCGCCCCGATGCATCCATGCGCTCCATGCAGGAACGTCAAGTTCGCATACAGACTCTCAGCACCACCCGTCTTGTTCACCAAGCCCGTGGCCGCATCGATCCAGCGATCCGGCATGAACTCGTCCGCCGTCGAACCCCAGAGATGTGGCGACCGGTTGATGGCGCATGGCGCAATCATAATCCGCGTGTCTTTGGGCACGGCGTGGTTTAGTATCGAGGTCTCGCGGGTCGCGACCCGAGGCGTGATGGGTACGGATGGGTATAGGCGGATGGCTTCGTTGCAGACTCCGTGCAGAAGGGGTAGCGATTCCAGAGACTCAGCCATCTGGTCGCCAGATCTTGAGGCATGAAAACGGAGTTCCTCGCGCACACGGGTCTGGATATGGGGATGGCTGGCGAGGAGGTGGATGGTCCAGCCGAATGTAGCGGCGACGGTTTCATGTCTAGACAAGAGTCAGCATCAACCTCATATCCAGAATGCAAGAGGGATCGGATTTACCCAGCCGCCAGAAACGTCAAGAACTGATCGACTAATTCGTCATCGGTAAACTTTCCCGAGGCCAACATCTTCGACAGCAGATCCGGCTGGTCGTCTTGTTCTTGGGCCCTCTCCTTCTTCAGCTCCTGCTCTCCTCTCTGCCTCTGTCTGCCCCTATGAATAGCCTCCCTGCAGAACTGTCTCAGATACGCCGTGGAATCATCAAACTCCTTATCCACAGCCCATGGAATCCAATCCACCACCCACCGAAAATGACTCGCCATCCCCGCAAAGAGGAGATCCTTCCCGGGTGTCGACCGAAACGCACCCTCATACGCCCTCACAATCGGGTGGTCACACCCCCTCAAAAGCCCTAACTCCAAACCCAGCGCCGCGTCCCCAAACACATCCAGCGTGGACCTCGTCGCCCAGACATTCATGTCTACCACAACCGTCCCTTCTTCATCCCCAGACAGTCCCTGGGCACCACCGAGGACGGTAATCTCCATATCCCTCTTCACTCCATCAACCAACTCCTCACTCTTCCTCCAAAATAGCCCCGCGAGACGCCTGGTATTCCTAAGCGTGAAGCTCGGCACCACATGTCGCCTCTGCATCTTATGCGTCACCCCGGCGGCGGTGAGCAACCCACCCCCGAGAATTCGACTCGTGAAGAGCCGGATCTCCGGCGGTTTATCGAAATGATAGGGTTTGCGAACGAGTGTCTCGGCCAGGGCTTCGGGGGATGTGAGAAGGAGGTGATCGGTGTGGAAGAGGTCACGGAAGAGAATGAGGCCGGAGTTTGGGACTGTGTTCATGAAGTGGAGGTAGGTTTTGCCGAGGGGTTGTTGGAAGCGAGACAGGGAGTGACCAAGGATTGGATAGCCGCCCTTTTTTGATGCTTGTTAGAGGGTGAATGTATGGGTGTTGTGGGTATGGATGGATGGGTGTAGGTACGGTACCTTTGGTTGAGGGAGAGAGCGCAACGGGCTTAGGAATCGAGGGTATAGGAGGAGTTTGTAAACTATGTAGGCGAGGATGCTGTAGAAGAGAAGATGGAGAGTAGGGATTGAGCTCTCGTGCTCTATTAGCGATAGGAGCACGCCTTCTTCATCTTTGTTAGTGGTTGGTGATGTTGATGGATAGCAGCCCCACGGGGCCACTCGGTTCAGAAATGCCGGTGGAGCCATCGTGTCATTGAATGCTCAGGTTGTAATATGAAACGAGTGGGACATAGTGTGAGATTTGATGAGGAATTTATCTATTGGATGTGTTGGCCAAGCCGTTTCTTATAAGGGCACGTTGTTTATAGGTACACACATATTTCCATCTAAATTCCCCAGTAGTATGCACAACCATAGCATCATAGAAAAAGAAAAGGAGGCAAACAATGCTAAAGATAGAAAAGATGCATATCTGAGCTAATAGTAGCACAGTGGATCAATGAACGTCTTCCGCGGATCCTAAAGCCATGTTTGTTTGTGTCAGATTGTCAGATGAACTCAGCCTTGGAATACGTCACAAGAGGTTCTTCTTATTCCCGATTCGGTTATAGATGTGGCCAACTCTGCCAGCTCAGCCCGTGAAGGTTAAATTGGACATATGGCTCAAGGTTGAATTTAGAGTTTGTTTGACTGGGAAAAAATAATCACTTATCTTTTCCTAACAATACGAAGGAGAGCAGCTGGGCTGCTATTTATGAGAGGACCGCGGAGTTCTTTGTGCAGACGGGCCTTTACGGAGGGATGGCTAGCAAAGAGATAGATAATCCAGCCAAACGAGATAGTTAGTGACAGTTCCATATCTAGAGAATCATCAGTATCCACTTTATTATCTAGAATATAAGAGAAATAAAAACTACCCACCTGCTAAAACTGCTAAGAACTGATTTACTAATTTCTTATTGGTGAACTTGCCGACGCCAGCATCTTTAACCCCTGAACAGCCTTCGCATAACTAATGGTGATCACATTATTTAACATATGAGAGCATTCTACCTTTGCACCTCTATTTCATTTCATGAATTATATTTAATAAGTTATATCCTAAAGCTCAAAGAAAGGCATTTGTGAAGACTTCCAGGTGGGAATGAAAAGAGAACGAGACGTTTCCTTCACGCCAGAATACTACTCTACTACCCTTAGAATAATTATAACTATTTTATACAAACAGGCTAAACTTATCTAATATCTGGGGTCAGTTCATCGATATAATGCATGGGATAAGGCTGAAATACGCCTGGGGTATCGTCGAGGTTTCCAATCCTACTTCAGCCTTGCGTTTCGTTTTGATAGACTGTTACATTCACCCCCACCTAACTACTACTAAGTTTTCAATGGATCTACACAGCCTCACCGTAGTTCTCCCTCTTTGATTCTCCTCTCTTGAATCCATTCACAGCTTTATTCAAATTTCTAAGCACCTCGGGTCCAATCGCGCTGGAAAGGAAAGATTTTGCACCTCCAAATAGGAGCTATCAGGAGAATGATCAAACATGACTCCCTGAGCGAGGACATCGAGTTATTGCCTGTTCCTAAGCACTATCTAAGCTCCGACCGTTTGATTCACGCCGGATCCGAAGAAAATTCCGAGGCAGGAACCCCAAATCATGACCTAGAACAGAAGAGTCAACAGAATCAGAATCCAGGCAATAACAAAGGCCGCTACCAAGGATGGAAGTTCTCTATATTTTTGGATTTTACATCGAGTATTGTTGTGTTGCTGTTTAATGTCGGGTTCCTCTTGTTCACAATCACCCGTACCCAGATGGGCCAAGACGCCGCGCTGGCAAGAGGAAACTGCGATAGAGTACACCGGCTCAGTACTGGATTCCACTGGATCATTAACGCATTGAGTACAATTCTCCTCGCAGCTAGTAATTTTGGAATGGTATGAAGAATATTTCTTGTCGAGCGTTGGTGACAGACAAGCTAACTCTATCGACATAGCAAGTCCTAGCAGCCCCGACGAGAAAAGACATCGATCGAGCTCACGAAAAACGCCGGTGGCTTGACATCTAGGTGCCAAACATAGGCAATCTTTTCCGTGTGTCTTCTCATTGTGCACTGTTATGGTTGGGCTTATCGTTGTCATCGCTTCCACTGCATGTGTTCTACAACTCCGCAATCTACTACCAAACTGCAGTTCCCGCCTATGACATTTTCGTTGGACCGGGCTCTCTAGATCAGAAGGACCTGTCAGATGTCTACCTGTTTAATCAAACCATGAACTCCCGTACAGGCGATTCTCTCCGAGGCCTCTTTCACACAGCAAAGAATGGGACCTTGGAACACTTGGACAGCGCGGCTTGCGTCACAGCTTTTGGTTAGACCTACCAGACGTCATACGGCCGACTTCTCTTAGTAGCAGAAACCAATTCAAATGCCGAATCTTCTCTCCTTTACACGAACCCAGTATATCAACCAGACTCCTCGAGTGCCTTTAGCGGGGCGATTTCTGCCTACCCATGGATATGTCCCACCGACATTGACTGTGAGGCGAAGGGAATTTCCCCGGTTCATCAACTGGCGGAAAATAACGATTGGAACGTGAGTCCTCAGTCAGGATTTGAGACCTCTTACGATAACTTGACCTTTGAAGCCAGGGAATACCAGGTTGAATACTGTCTCGCGGAGCCCATTCCGGAGAATTGCAACCTGCAGTATTCCGTGCCTCTGATAGCCATCACAGTTGGGTGCAACCTTGCGAAAGCATGTATTCTTCTCTACATCTGGATTGGAATGAAGGAAGCTCCTATCCTAACTGTTGGCGATGCGATCGCGTCTTTTCTCCGTCACCAGGATCCCTATTCGAAGGGCATGTGTCTGGCTTCTGACGACACCGGGGTATACATACCTCCGATTCGAGCGACACCTCATTCGCTCCAATACAGCAAATTCCGCCGCCCTGTGTCCTATTCTGGAAAGCTAAATCGTTGGGGCTCTTCCATCTCTAGTCGCTGGGGTTTCTTTATCTTCTTGTAAGTTCTGCCCCTTCTAAGGACCCACAACCCTTACCATTTGAAGTGTAAGCTAAGTCTGCTATCTAGTTGGCTGGTTTCTTTCATTATCTGTTTTATCCTTCTTCTTCTATCTATTCTCGGGCTGAGAAGCAGCGCCGGGGATATTTTGAAAGGGAAACTCGGGGCTATTTCTTCAGAAACGATTCTCAGTATCGAAAGCTCCGGCAACAGCCTCGTGGCCAGTTCTTTCATCGCCAATTTACCGCAGCTCATATTATCATTCCTCTATGTTGCCTATAATAGTCTTCTGACCTCAATGTGTCTCGCGGCTGAATGGAGTGCCTACGGAATCACTCGCAAAGGACTGCGGGTTTCTCATAGCCCCAAGGTAGCTCAGCGGAGTAACTACTTTCTTTCAATCCCCTATCGATATGCGGTACCTCTGATCAGTACCTCTGCGATCTTGCATTGGCTTGCATCAGAAAGCCTTTTCGTGATCGCCGTTGAGGCCTACGATACAAAGATGCGAAAGGACCCTTCGCGGGATGTATTTACGTGTGGTTATTCGCCGATGGCAATCATTAGTGGAGTGTCAATGTCAGTTGTCATATTTACTTACTTTATTGTGCTCAGTCTTCGAAAGTTTGAGTCTGCGATGCCCGTAGCCGCGAGTTGCAGTTTAGCCATTGTGGCAGCATGCCATCCACAATATAATCCTAACGAGGAGTCAGTGGAGGCGAATGCTGCTGATGCTGTAGCAGCGATAGATTCTGAACGCGAAGAAGAAGAGATGGAAGTTTTGCTTGTGAAATGGGGAGCTATTTCTGTTTCTGGGCCTGTGGGGCATTGCTCCTCTACCTCTGGTGAGGTTAATCCACTTGAGGAAGGGGGGAAATATCAATGACCATGTAGCCAAGCAAGAGAACTTTCGAGCGAAACATGATGGAAAATTGCAATAGAAACTGATTGGTTCGTCTCGTATACCGACAGCCTCTTCCTTTCCCCAGTTCGGTTGTAGATGTGGCCAAGTCTGCCAACTCAGCCTATAGGGAGTCAGAACGTACATGTGGCTGCAGGAGAGAGTCATGCTCACCAGGGCCGGAAATAAAACAATTTGTTTATTGTTTCCTGAAGATATAAGGTAGGATAGTTGGGCTGTGATCTGTAAGAACCATTGCTTTCGAGTGGTTGGTTGGTTTCTATTTTTACGAGCCTTTTATTTGCTTTTCTTGAATATTTTTTTTTGAACACTAATTGTAGACCTGGGTCACTCCAACTAATCCTATTCCTTATCTCGCCTCTGTATATTCGCTCGAGGGATGGATCCCTGCGTCATTCTATGCTCTGTACCAGGATTGGGCTCTCAAACTCTGCTTGAAACAACCTTGTCAGCTGTCATATCGCAGATCTCTACTGATCTTATCGAAGGCGATGTGGGTTATCGAATCTGTATAGACCAACTTGGCAGGAGCTTTGTAACCTCGAAGTTAAACCAATAGTTTCGACCACTCTAGACCTGGAGAATAGGAAGGCAACACAAAGAAAAAGATTTGGTGACCTTCAGTTACTTCTACGGAGGAAACCAAACAAGAAAAGAAAAGGAATGCTGCGACGCGAAAAACAGACTTAATGATTAACTCAAACACCTTATGAAGTCTTCTCCTGAGTCGCCTTGCGCCACCGCAAAGTCTCTCGACCCCCTTCAAGACTCGGCGCGGCTTCTTCGCAAGTAAGCGTCAGCAGCCTATAGCAGCCCACAGTCTTGAGGTCTATGAATCGCCGCACAGCCTGTCCCCGGAGTTTGGGGAGGTTGCAATACTGCACTCTATGAATGACCGCAGGCGTAGAGGTATTCTCCTCCGTGGAGAAAGTTCCATTATACCCCATGTATCTTCTTGAAGCTTCTGCCAGCTCACTCTCAGTTCCAGCCCGTGGATCTCGTCCTCCAAACGGCTCTTGCCCTGGCAGTTGTAGAGTCGCGGAAACGTACCCATCCGCGGAGTATATGAGTCGTCCTTGGATGCTGTGTCCAAATGGGTGCTGCTGGTTTCCGTCGGTGTCCATGGCGGTAAATTCCATAAGATCCCAACTCCCAAGTAATTGGTCTCGAATGGATGCGGGTTGGGGTTTCAAAGGATATTCCATCAATCCTCGGCCTGCATCCCGGCCCATATACCCTCTTGTCACATAGTTCTGGCGGATGAATTCGACCCCGTAGGCAGGCACGTTGCGTTCTTCGATATAGACGTCTTCGATGTCGCACACTGTCTGCAGACCGACCATGTCCATGAGCTCGCATGGCCCCCACGCAGCGTGCAGATTGGCCTTGAAAACGCGATCAATGTCCTCTGCCTTGCCCACTCTCTCGGCCAGCATGAACATGACCTCGCGCTTAATCGCCGCCCAGATGCGATTTGCCACAAATCCCGTCGATTCTCGTTCGACGATCAAGGGCTCTAGTCTAATAGACTCCAATTGTGAAGCGGTCTCCTTGATCACTGCTGCACTTGTCCGGCCGCATGCCATGATCTCCACGATCGGTACCTCTGGCGGACGGCAGTAATGAGTGTTGAGAAACCGGCATTTTCTTTCATCACTCAGCCTAGAGACCAACCTGCTGCTTCGGATCGAGGAGGAGTTCGTAGCAATGATCGTCATCTGATGTGTGAGCTTATCAATCTCGCCCAAGACGTTCGTCTTGAGAGCGATCTGTTCGGGGACCGACTCGATCACCATCCACGCATCTTGCACCGCGTCGGCCAGTGTGGATGCAATCTCCACATGTCCTGCGTTTTCTTTGGATACGGATGGGGAATTTCCCAAAGTTTCTTGCACCCAGTTCAAAGCTTCGACAGCGCGTTCTGGTTCAGTGTCACATATCCTGACAGAAACTCCACCACGGGACCAGGACAGAGCAATCCGACGGCCAAGTTTACCACAGCCAATGACGGCTACTCTGTTGGGTTTGAAGCTTGGTGGCGGCTCCTCAGCTGTCATTTTGACTCTCGTGGGTGTAAGCGTAGGTGGATAAGGAATTATCTTCTCGAGGATCAGCCGATTCAGCATTGGGGGTGTCGTCTTGTTATATCCACCATGACCCTCTTGGCCGGCAATCACTTTTCTAAATGAAAAAATGCGCAGTTCCATGTTCGGCCTCGCCCATACACAACTGCACAGCATAGACTTTGCCTATTTGCCGCATTCATTTTGTGTCGCAGATTTTCATCATCAGTCTTACTTTCCCGTCTACCTGCATACATTCCACAGGTTTCCCTTCCATAACAGCCATGACTGGGCTACTTTCCGCGCCTCCTGATTTCGAGAGAAGAGTATTCGGCATCTTCGAGCGATATAGTCAAGATTCTAAAGGCCGAGTACGTCACCCGTATTTCTTTGGCGTAGTGCATATATCCTCTAGCTATTGCGACTAACGAAACATTCAACCCAGGGCTGGGACTACAACCCTGAAAACTACAACGCGCGAATCGAAGCAATCTCCCCAGGATCCGGATCGAGCGACAGTTCTCCCCCCTCAGTGGCCTTTCGCTTCATCGTGACGGAGGATATGTGTAACTACACTCACCACCTTCATGGCGGATGCGTGACCACCATCCTCGATACACTCAGCTCCATTTTTCTGGTCGCATTGTCCAAACCAGGCCTCTACTCGCTAGGAGGTGTCAGCCGCCACCTGCACACCACTTATTTGCGACCTATCCCGGTGGGTAAAGAGGTACGCCTCGTATGTAGTCTGAAGCATGCGGGCAAGAAACTGGTTTTGTTGAAGGCGAACTTGTACAGAGTGGATGACGATAGGCTCTGTGTGATTGGGATCAATGAAAAGGCGAACACGGATCCTCCTAGGGAATCTAAAATTTAATATCTTTCGAGAGCATGTCATATGAACCCTATTCATATACCGTCTTATGAGCCTCTCAGTGTCCACGTTCTTCCTGTGATTGTCATGATGTCAGTTGGATCTGCAGATTAGCCTTTTGGGGAATATAAAGCAGGATGATGGTAATTGCATATGTTACGTCAGATCTTGTGATTTTAAGCCACCAATCAACCTTATCTCGGTATAATTCCAAACAATCCGCAGTGCAGCTGGTGATAATGCTAAGGTCCTTTCTTAAGGATTTGCATATTGCGACACAGACTTTGTCGATTATTCTGCCATGCAACCAGACAGTATGGTGTGTACCCACGGCGGCATGATTACAATAAACATGAAGATCTTTACTATCAGTAGTGTATCATTTATTAGACTTTGGATCCGATCGTCCAAATATACCTTTGTGCTCATATTCTAGAGGTATACCTCAAAATCCTTCGCAGCTTCAAGCACTGTTCGATCAAACGAAATCCATGGCTTGCCCGTCGCCTTGACTGCTTTAGAGGCATCGAATCCCACAGTGCGCCCTGGAACCGGTTGCTCTGACGAATCATTCGCCCCGGACCACGGTCCTCGGATAATGTCTCGCCGGCCTGGGTAGCCTCTGAGTAAAAGTTCGGCGATATTTAAGGGACTAGCCTCTGTGGCTACTGCTAGGTATCGCTCCTTGTCCAACAGGGCTGGGTGATCGATAGCCCAGATAATCAAACGAGCAACATCATGTATGTCGACGTAAGGCCAGATGCCCTGAAAAGCCGGTTTCACTTTCTGGCCGTGGAAAACATCCCAGACTATGCCAGCGGTCTCCGATAGCTGATTCGGGTCGTCGGGGAGCACTAGCGGTGGACCACACACAAAGCTACCGGAAAACATATAAGGACAATTCATGTATATGGCATGCAGCATCTAAACTCACCCAGGATTGATAGAAGTCATGGAAAACGGTGGCCCGCGTTCATTCCGGAACCTCCACATGGCCCTTTCGGAGGCGGTTTTGCTCGCAACATAGATCGACGATGCGGATGCTCGTGGCCCCAAGGCAGCAATCTCATCTTCGGCCCAGTTTTCCCAATCTGCTTCGGTGATTAAGTGTGCATAGAGCCCTTTCGGTATCATCGTAGTGGCTGAGGACATCAAAATGAAGGATTTGAGGTTGGGTCCCGCAGCACTCACGCAAGAGTCTAGGAGACCTGTCGTACTTTGAACCGCCGTAGCGAGAATTGGACTGGGGTCTGTGAATGTCGAAGAGATAGGGGCCGCGATGTGAGCAACAGCTGTCACGCGTGAATGATCGATTTGTCAGTTCTTGACTTTCGCCTATTCTTCCCCTGGTTGTTAAAATAACAGCTTGTCTACCTTGGACGGCATTATCAAAAGCACCTGGAATAGTAATGTCAGGCACATGTACAATCTCCAACAGGCCATCGTCACTCCATGTTCGTAGTCTCGCCCTCAGTCGATCGGCCAAATGTGGCGAGCGTACTGTTCCGCGGACTGCATAACCGGCCTGTAGAAGCTCATATATTGTACAGGACGCAATGTAGCCATTGGCACCGGTAACCAGGACAGTTCCCCTATCTACTCTCATGTTGTAATCTGCGGGTGGGTAGGATTGTTTGTCAAGTCCGCTTAGGAGAGTAGTAAAGTACTCAAGCAAGAGGAGATTAGGACCGCAGAATTGCCCCGACGCCACTTTATACAGTCGGTCCTGTCCCACATTTTGTGGTTGGTGGTGAGACAGAAAAATGGCTTATATAAGCCGCTCATCCTTTCACTTGGGCAATGAAAAAGATCATTCAATCACTTCAGCTCCAGGCAGTTTGCAGATTACAGAAAATGAAAATCCGATAAGGACCAAAGGAGTCGATGAACCATTTAACGAATTATATCCTACAGACGTTGGTCCTGAGTTGTCATAGACCGAAGTACGTCAATCAATGAAGCTTTGAAAGAGGAAATAAGGTGACCCAGTTGCATGCACAACTCCATCTCTCAAGGTCTCAGCAAGAAGGGTATAGGACTGACTCGTCCAGCACGATCAAAGCGGATCAGAAAACGGTGCATTCCTCATCCCGCATTCAGAATACTGATTCCGGGGACTTTTGTCCGGGGTGAGACAGAAGCTTATCCACTCTGAGACAGCCAGCCCTAATTTTGGCCGGCGTTCCCTGGCGGATTACATCAGCGGCGGGCCCTCGACCCCTCGGCTTCACCGCCTTCCATGAATGAAGCACTGATTCAGCACTGATTCAGCGGTTTCGTTTAGTGGCCAATGGGCGTGGACGGCGCCTAGCTCGGCCTGGCGCCTATCCTCATGCGGCCTAGCGGCTGCAAAAATTGCTAGCGCGGGCGCGGGTTGCAAGGACTCAAAAGCCAATTTTTTTCTCCTCCAATTTTTCTTCTCTTTCTTTCTTTCCTTTCTTTGGGAAAGGAAGACTTTCTCCATCAACAGAACGTTTCTATCGTCGATCTGTTGATTAATCCCTCTTTGATTTCTACGAGTTCCGATAGAAAACTCTAGAATCTTTTTATTCTTCCACAATGCCTATCTCCAACGGCGACGCTCTTGGCAGGGCCATGAAGGCCGAGATCCAGGATCACACCAAGGCCCTGGAAGTCCTGGAGAAGGACTACCCCTCCAGAGATGGTCTGGATGTTGATACCCTGCTGGATTCGGACAAGCACGGAGCATTGACCTACAATGACTTCCTCATCTTGCCCGGATATATCGGTAAGACGACGATGAGCCTTTTCCTCCAGTCGTTTGGTGCCTAGTTATTCATACCTTATGTGACAGGCTTCCCTGCTTCCGATGTCAGCCTGGAAACCCCCGTCTCCAAGCGCATCAGCTTGAAGGCCCCTCTTCTGTCCTCCCCCATGGACACTGTCACCGAGCACAACATGGCCATCCACATGGCTTTGCTGGGTGGTCTGGGTGTCATCCACCACAACTGCACCGCCGAGCAGCAAGCCGAGATGGTCCGCAAGGTGAAGAGATACGAGAACGGCTTTATCTTGGACCCCGTTGTGCTCTCCCCCAAGGCTACTGTCGGAGAAGCCAGGGACTTGAAGACCAGGTGGGGATTCGGTGGTTTCCCCGTCACTGGTAAGTTATCAATCTTTCTCGAATTCTTTCCCCTGCCCCTTTTGCCCAGCTGCAAATTTTTGTGATGATTTCCATCTTTCTTCATATAACTTTCGTTCCACTGGAGCAGCGAGAGTTGCACTGTAGAGAAACAGATTATATCTGATCCATGTATCCTGCTTTTTCATGTTCTTGATTCCACACCTTGCTTGCAAGAATTATGACTAATTCTGTTACTGTCAACAGAGAACGGTACCCTCCGCTCGAAGCTCGTTGGTATGGTCACCAGCCGTGACATTCAGTTCCACCACAACCTTGAAGACCCCGTCACCGCCATCATGGCCACCGACCTGGTTACTGCCCCTGCTGGCACCACCTTGGCCGAGGCCAACGAGGTTCTCCGCAGCTCCAAGAAGGGCAAGCTCCCCATCGTTGATGAGAGCGGAAACCTTGTCTCCCTGCTTTCGCGCAGTGACTTGATGAAGAACCTTCACTACCCTCTGGCCTCCAAGCTTCCCGAGTCGAAGCAGCTGATCTGCGCTGCTACCATCGGTACTCGTGACGCCGACAAGCAGCGTCTTCAGCTGCTGGTTGAGGCTGGTCTCGACATCGTCATCCTGGACAGCAGCCAGGGTAACAGCATGTACCAGATCGAAATGATCAAATGGGTCAAGAAGACCTTCCCCGAAATTGACGTCATTGGCGGAAACGTCGTGACTCGGGAGCAAGCCGCGGCTTTGATTGCCGCCGGTGTCGATGGCCTGAGAATTGGCATGGGCAGCGGTAGTGCTTGTATCACCCAGGAGGTCATGGCTGTCGGCCGTCCCCAGGCCGCGTCCGTTCGCAGCGTGTCTTCTTTCGCCGCTCGCTTTGGCGTTCCTTGCATTGCTGATGGTGGTGTCCAGAACGTTGGACACATCGTCAAGGGTCTTGCTATGGGTGCCTCCACCGTCATGATGGGCGGTCTCCTTGCCGGTACCACCGAGTCTCCCGGTGAGTACTTCGTCAGCAACGAAGGTCAGCTCGTCAAGGCCTACCGTGGCATGGGCAGTATCGCTGTCATGGAGGACAAGAAGGCCGGCGGCAAGGCCGGTAACGCCGGTACCGCTCGGTACTTCTCGGAGAAGGACAACGTCATGGTCGCCCAGGGTGTTGCCGGCTCCGTCCTCGACCGTGGTTCCGTCACCAAGTTCATCCCTTACCTCGTTGCGGGTGTGCAGCACTCTCTTCAGGACATCGGTGTGCCCAGCCTTGAGGCTCTGCACGACGGTGTGAACAAGGGTCTTGTCCGCTTTGAAATGAGAAGCGCTAGCGCCATGGCCGAGGGTAACGTCCACGGTCTGCACAGCTACGACAAGAAGCTCTACTCTTAAATAAGCTAGATAATGCGCTTGGTTGATTTCTTTTTCTACTCGGGACTTTTCTTTGCTTCCAAAGACCGGCTTACACGATGACACGTGGCGATACGAAAACAAAAAAGTTCACTGGCATGAGGGTTAGGAGTTAAGATGTGGATATGCGCGGGCATTTGCTTTTCTTTCTTGGTTGCTGTAGCATTTCATGCTTACCATGATTATGCAGTTGGAATATTGAACACTGAATTAGACTTTTATCACTTGTTCTCATCATTTCTCTTTCTCTGTATATTGCTCTGTAAATCTGCGGAAATTTCCCTTATAGAGACGTCCAAACCCGAAGCGGCTACCCGCGGGGGAACAGTCAGCCTAGGTTCTCCCAGTCATTGCCAAGGCTATGTTCTCCGGAGAGTACTAGTAGTAGTTCCTAGCATGCATCCTCGTTCCCCGTTCATCAATTAATCCTGCTCCTCCTTTCCTTATTGATTCTAGAATAAAAGTTAGCTGCACCTCGGTTGCCCTTCATACAAGGACATGATCTCACCCGCACATGTGCCGCGGCGCGCATCCAAACTACCCAGGTCGCTATACATCAACCGGCAAGGACTCATCCAACGCTCCTTTCCGACAGGTTCTCCGGATACACCTTTACGAGTTACATCTAGTTTTTATTTGACCCAACCTATTATCGGAAAGACCTCACCATTCTCTCATACTAGAGGTTTCTTTTCATCTCGCAGCATGTCATCACAGAGCGACACTCAAAAGCCGAAGCCGAAGCAATCAATCCCAAGGCCGAGTTCAAGGTTAGCCGAGCTTGTTTTCCATTTACTCATTAGTGAAACAAAAGAAAAGCAAAAAATACAACATGCAATGATAAAGTCCAGCCATAAATCAAATAACTAACGATTCCTAGTGTCATTCTGGTATCTCCGAAGAATGAGATCCTGCTACTCCATCGCGTCAAGACCTCGGCGTCATTTGCCTCGGCTCACGTCTTCCCCGGCGGGAATCTATCAAGTCAAGACGGACCATGTCCACCCGTCGAGGACCTGAAAAGGCACGACGATGGTCCCTGGTACCGACAAGCCGCGCTCCGTGAGCTTTTCGAGGAAAGCGGAATCCTGCTGGCCAAGAACAAGACCTCCGGGAAAATGCTAACTGTCCCGGAGGACGAACGGGAAAAGGGCAGACGATCGATTCATCAGCAGGAAGTTACTTTCTCGGACTGGCTGCACGGGCTGGATTCTGCAGCTGTTCCTGATACAGGTTTGATCTTCCCCTACTACCCTTTCCGAAAGTCCGTCCGTGTTTTCCGTTTGGACTAACTAATTGGATCTTTGATAAAGAGCAACTGATACCGTTCACGCGATGGATCACCCCGACGAATGTGCCCAGGCGGTATTCTACGCAAATGTACCTGTATTTCCTCCCTTTGCCTCTCGAATCCGAGAAGTCACTTTTGAAAGAGATCCCCGCGGAAGGAGAGCGGGAGGAAATTCAAGTGCCTACGAGCGACGGCGGCATTGAAGTCACCGAGGCTAGATTCTTGCCGGCGTCGGAATGGCTTCGTATGGCGCAACAGGGCGAGGTCATGCTTTTCCCGCCACAATTCTTGCTTTTGCATCTGGTGTCGCAATTCTTAGACAAGGAGCCTCGTGCAGGAACCTCGTTAGACTATTTGAAGAACCGACGGACACAACTGGTCGAGTTCGCACATTCGGGCACTCCACCCTGGACCGAGAAGTGCATTTCTCCGAAGATGCTCAAAATGACGTCCGACAAGCGGACGGTCCTAGCTCTAGACCATCCCGGACCGGAATTGAAAGACAGTGATAGACAAGGCGAGTCCGACCGAGTTGTGTTAGTACGGTTTGGACAAGGAGCGGCTCGGCAACTTGAAGTGCGCTGGAAGAAGGAGGTATTGTCTGCGGATGGTGGGGAAGAGAAAGGTCGTCTGTAAGCTATCCAGGTCTCGTAACAGTCACTTCATGTTGTAGGTTAGAGTATACTTTGAACAAATTACCGGATCACCCAGGATCAGGGCCAGCCACCGCAGTCCCGTCTAGATCGCGTACAACCACGGACGGGAAAGTAGGGCACTGCTTACCGCCACGGCCCCTCCCCCAATGGGAGCACGACCGTAGCCCTCGACAAAAGATCACATGACCCACACAACCGTCGCCCGGAATCGCCCCAAAAGAGTCGCGCATTTTCACGACCGTCCGCCAGTTTAACCCGCCAGCGCACCCCCTCCGAATTCTCACCGTCGTCAACCTCAAACACCACCAACCGCCAAAATGGAGAACGAAAAGGGAGAGATTGTCGATCTGTATGTTGTCACCGTCTTTTTTTTTTTCTCATTTCCCGCTTTTTCCCCTACAGACTATAGGAGGAGGGAAAGGTCCGATCGATTTCCGGCGACTAAGGAATGAACATGTCCTTGTGTCTCAACACTCGTCTTGTCTTGCGAAACGGGTGTCAAGGAAGGGAGAAAGAAAGACCAGGAACGGACATGTCGCTGTCCATAATTCAATTTTTCACGGCTGGTGGATTCGCAAAGACAAGGCGAGCGTGAGAGGGCAAGAGGCATATTTAAACCTGTCGCAGCCAGCGAAGGGTTCCCAATTTCCAATATCCAGCCTCCATGTTATCATTGCATGCAAAGAGAAAAAAAGAAAAAAAAAAAAAAAAAAAAAAAAAACAAGCGAAAGGACAAAAGGGAATCCAAGCTTCGGAACCAATGCGATCGGACCAGGAGGGGAAAAATTGCAGCATTCAACCAAACCAGTACCACCATGAAGAAATAACCCACTAACTTTTTTTTTCTCAACCAGCTACGTCCCCCGCAAGTGCAGCGCCACCAACCGCATCATCAAGGCCAACGACCACGCCTCCGTCCAGCTCTCCGTTGGCAAGGTTGACGAGAACGGCCGCTACACCGGTGAGAACAACACCTATGCTCTCTGCGGTTTCATCCGTGCTCGCGGTGAGAGCGACGACTCCTTCAACCGCCTCGCCCAGCGTGACGGTTACCTCAAGAGCGTCTGGTCCGCCAACCGCCAGCGGTAAATTTGATGGATTTCCGGGTGTTTGAGAATTTCTGGGGTGGACTTTGATGGTGGGGGATAACCATGATGGTATGATTTTCTCTCTTTTCCCCTGTCATAATAGCGGATATGCTGTGGTCGTCGCAAGAGAAGAAAGCTAATAGATTGAGATTTATAGGATCCATGATGTTTTTATACCGTATTTGTGGGGTTAATAACATCGGCCGATATGATTAAGAATTTCCTTAAAAAAAAACCATGAATGAAAGAATTTCATACAGTCAATTAATCAAATCCATCTATTGGTTTCTTTTCGTCAATGTCGCTCCCTGTCCTACCGACCTTTCCCATATACCCTTCTACCTTGCCCAAGACCCAATTGTAATAATATCTACCCCATATCCTCCGTTCATCCACCTTTCCTAGATCTATTTCCCAATCCGTCCCCCCAAGATCCCTCAACCAAAAAAAAAAAAAAAAAAACCGGCCCATCAAACCCCCCTCACCCGACGATGCCTTTCTCTGATTGAACATCTTCGAGATATTCATCCGAGTTTCGTGGCCGTCCCCATGAGCGAGGAGGTAGATGATATCTCAGTAAGAAACGAACGAAAAAGTAAATTCAAACCTTACTTGCTTGCCCTTTCTTACTGACCCTGTGCCGAATATTATTCATATCCCGCCTACTGAAGAGCCACTTCTGCTGAGTTTTGCGTCGGGGCACAGATACGGGTGGGACATTTCTTTTATTCAGTTTTTCTTTTCTGTTTTTCTGGTGGGGGGAGGGGTGTTGTAGATTTGCGTTGTTTTTTAGGAACAGTGGGTATTGGGGGATTTGATGGGTTGGTTATATGTAGCTTTGCTCGATACCTAGCATCTATCCTATCTTGTGAAGTCGGCATGAATATGTTTGTACACCGTAGTTTGTGTGTACCTAATTTCATACTTCCGAAATCCCAAGGTCTTTAAAATGTGAGCCCTTTTTACTATTTCCATGATCGTCGGATAATTTCTTGAGAATCTGTGTGATTTCATATCATATCATGTATAGCGATGAAAGAAAAGCTGAAAAAATTTTTATTTTTGTCTCTCCGTTTCGTTCCATGTCCATTTCCACGTCACATCAACAACATCCCATCTGCATCTGCTCTAGTTTACTCTAGTCCTTCTCCAGTCTAACAGCAGGGTTGCTCTCGATGAAATTGAGGTCGACCTTGTGGCCGAGAAGTTCTCGGATGTTGCTCACGGCGTACCTACAATGGATTAGTATTTTGGATATGATTCAGAAGGTGCAAGTAGGGAAAAACTTACTTGATCATGGTAGGTCTCTCCAGACTCAGTCCGAATCCGTACACTTGCATGTTCTTGGGAAGACCCATGGGCTCCAGCATCTCCGGTCGGAACATACCACTGTTTCCGATCTCCACCCACTTGCCCAGACCCTCGTGGTAGCCGAAGATCTCCATACTGGGCTCGGTGTAGGGGTTGTAGGCGGGCTTGAAGCGCAGCTGGTGGATGCCCATCTTGGCGAAGAAGACCTCCATGAAGCCGATCAAGCCACCCAGCGTGAGTCCGAAGTCGGCAATGACACCCTCGATCTGGTGGAACTCCGCCAGGTGGGTGGCGTCGACCGCCTCGTTACGGAACACCCGGTCGATACTGAAGTACCGCGCGGGCCGCGGGTTGGCCGCCAGCTTGTGCAGCATGTATGTCGATACCGACGTCGTGTGTGTGCGCAGCACCAGCCGTAACGATTCGTCCGCGTTCCACGGGTAGCGGTATCCGACTGATCCGTACTTGCCGTTCTCGTGCACCTCGCGCACGTCCGCCCAGTACTGCTTGTAGTCGAGGGGCTTCTGCGCGGCGGAGGAAGAGGCGGGCTGGACGTATTTCGGACGGTGGGGGTCGTTCTCGGGGTCCTCGCGGGGAGGGTCGGCCTTCGCAGGGTCGGAGATGTAGAAAGTGTCTTGCAGGTCACGGGCGGGGTGTTGCTGGGGCACGAAGAGGGCGTCGAAGTTCCAGAAGCCGGTCTCCACGTAGCGGTTGGTGGGCATCTCCTCGAATCCCATCTCGAAGAAGATATTCCGGAATTCCTGCCGCACCTTGTTGAGGGGGTGGAAGGCACCGGACGGGGTGGGAGCTCCCTTGGCCTTGAAGTTGTAGGGCTTTAGTTTGGCCGTCTTCCACGAGCCGTTCGTGAGCATCTCGACCGTGAGATCGGTCTCCTCCTTGACGAATTCCAGGGCATACTTGGCACCCTTGGTGATTTTGAAGGTGATCACCTTCTGGAAGGAGACCAATTTCCGTCGCTTCAGGTCCGAGAGCGCCTTCTGGTCCGCCAGGGTCTGAGTGCGCTGGACGGTCAACAATTGCTCACGAGTCTCGTCGACAATGGTTTCGGTGTTGGCCCGGAGGAGGGTGCCGTCCTTCTTGATCCAGCCTCGCTTGAAGGCATTACCCTGGCCAACCTTGGCGTTGTCCTTTCCAACAATCCCGGGCAGATCGCCGATCTTCAACCCGTCCAGAGCAGCCACAACCGCCTCGAAGACCTTAGCCTCGTGACTGCCGTTGTTGGCGATTTCCTCGCCCTCCTTCGTCAGGGCAGCGACTTCGCGTTCCACGGTGTCATATTCGACCATCTGGCGGGAGGCTAGGCGGTCAAGCGCACTTTTGATAGTCGAGGAGGGGGTGGAGGGGAAGGCTTCGTTGGACAGAATGGGCGCATCGGACGCGGACAGGGCGCCCAAAACGGGATTCGTCATATCGGTCGCCATGGCTGCAGTCGTGGTGCCACAGGGAATTGACGGCAGGAACAGAAGAAGACGTGCAGGAGGCCGGGGAATACTGGAGCGTGGATTATCGAACAGATACTGCCCACTTTCCGAATTGTGACTCTTTCGATGCTAAATTACGGCGGTCGGCAGCGACCAGAACCGCCATCCCGTGACTTGGCAATTGGCTACCCCGCCATCCATTCTGGGATAACACTGATAGCGATGCAATCATCCCGGATCACACTCTCTCGACTTTCGCCGTCTTCTCTTATGTCATGCCTGTCTTATCTGTAGTCCGGTGTCTATCCCGTTGCAGCACAGCGAGTTATCAATTCTGTAAAGAGGTTTTCCCAATGCCGCCTGCCACTCCTATTAATTGCTTTACTATCGTCATATGCATGATCTATTGCCCCTCTCAGCTGATTGGGCATTTTCGTTCCCATGATTTCGGAGTGATCAAAAGACCATCTCTCCATCTCATCTGCATAAGCCATGATGCCTGCACAGTGGCCAGTTTCATCGCGACAGTAGCAAACAGCATCCGGGCCCGGCGGAAGTACATATATATTTCTTCACCTCAGCAAGCCAGACATGAATATTCCGCAGCAAACAGAACGCGTACACTACCCGGAAGAGAGACGGCTCAAACGCAGACCAGTCAAGCATGACTGGTCCTGACTGAAATCGATGCAATCAAATCTGTAACCTAACCCCTGCCAGCACCGCGACTTCCGGCTCGAATCAGGGCATACCCGGCCCCGGGTCCGATGTTAAAACTCATCGGTGAAGCAACCAAGGTCATCAGGTATATGAAGTAGCCTGCAGGTAGCGGTGGTGAAGAAATCCCAGCCAGTAGCATACGCGAGTCGTCTGCAACAATTTGTCCGCCAAGCATGAGGGCGGACAGACCGGACCTGGGGTTTATGCGGCTTACCAACTTGAGCCGTATCTCATCGGGGTTAGAGAACATGCTACATACATTATTATGTCTAGTTACGGAGTAGTTCACTAACTAACTAGACACGGATGTGTTAGTCATCCAGCTAGTTAACTAAATTAGTTTATGCCCCGGATCTAACTATGCGAACAGGCGGAATGACAGAGTCAGCACCAGAGATCCGGCGACTCTATGCCAAGGAAGTGAGTACATCTCCTGATGGTCCGAGAATAACATAAAAGAGCCTGAGCTCCTCCGTATAATCTCGTGGACATACTCCAGTTGGCAATGGCATATGCGTACTCCGTACAAGTCCCGATACGTTTGTGCCGGTCTACCTGATCTACTAAGGTTAGCTCCTTACACAACAGACCAAGTTAGGGATAAATCAATTTTACATGGCGAATTAGGAGCCGGAGGGGCGCATATGAGAAAATGAGAAGGTCGCCAGGCAGTTCGGAAACATGAAAGGTGGTACGCGGGCCATCCTGCGAGATAAATCAACGCTCTCTCTCTCCATGCGCCTCAACCGCCTTTTAAACCTGGATGGAGGGTTGTTCCCCCGAAGAGGAATCGTTCGGTGGAGTCTACCCTAAAACGCCGGGTTTTATTGGTTTGCTGAGGACACCGCACGCGACCGTTAGGTCTGGACTAAAGAAGGCTGTAATATTATTAACATTTACCTTAGTTACATACCTTCCGTACGCTGGGTGCTACTGTTACCTACGGTTTACCACTGGTATCCCCCACCGGTAATGCCTATCTACGGAGTCCCTAACGGAGCCATCGACTACAATCCTACCAGAAACGGTGGGTGGAATCCAACCGAAGAACCTTTTGTTTGGGACCTCCCCATCGGCACCCCGTAGTTATCCAGAGAACCCGCGAGATCAGCCACGCGGACGGGATGTACGGAGTAAAAGGAGTTCGTCAAGCTGATTCCAAATCCCAAGCCTAGATAGGTAGTAAATACACAGCTTCCGTATCGCCGTAAGGGGTCTTACCTTGTGTGTTCCATGTATCAGAGCTTTGAAGGCTTACGGGGGAAAATGGTTGATCAGCCTCCGAACCGCCCATCACACCCTACCTCTCTATCGGGTCCCACCTAAAGTTGAGCACGCTGGACGGGGCCGGTAGGGTTGATCTCTCGTTGAACTTCTGCCTTCCCAAGCCATGTCTCCTGACGGTGAATTGCTTTAATCTCATTCTATTTTATTTATACTATTTTATTTTTTTCTTTTTACTTTGGCCTGTAATTATGACTCTTTGTCCCTTTCTTTCTCTGCAATTTTCCTCATTCCACCTCTTGCTCTCGCCATTTATTGCCCACGTTCTTTCCCACCCGCTAACCGTTTTCCCCTTTCTTGAACCAGCTAGAGAGTAGATAGCCTAGCGCTGAAAGTGTGATAGGTAATGAACGGGGCCAACTCTACCAGCTGGAGCCACGGACATAAGATCGCCACTAGTATTGGAGGAGATCACCGCTGTCCCAATCATCATAGGATGTGTATGAAACATGGGATCAACACACAACCCACTCGCGCACAAACAGCTGGGAGTGTCATCATGTCAGTGAAGAGTTTGACTGCTGGCAGGGGAGAGAGCAAAAGATAAAAAAAAAAATTAATGAGCAATAACGAACAATTCCCCTGATCCTTTAAGCTCTTAACCCAGTCGATCAATTATCGTTTCAATACCAGGTCCTCAGCCAAGAGGATCTTGATTCAGGAACTTGTAAGATGTAAAGAATCCTACAGCGACGATGGACCAGTAATACCAGATTACAAGGGTGCCCCGTGCACTCCGAAGAGAGAAGTTTATACTCCCCCGTGGCAGCTGTGGCTATAATTCGGCATCTGCGGTCTCTTTCTTCCGGGGCTGCTTACCCCCACGCACCGCGGCCCTGTTCTGCCCACGCATTACCACCAACCAAGGTTGAGGAAAGGGCTGGACTGAGACACGCACTGGACTATTCACGACGGATTCCTCCACTTGCTGCTATAATTATTTTTCGTCGCGGAGAGCTCATGACTTATGACTTATGATTGAACGTTGCTTTCTCCGACCATGGATCTTAGGACGTGATGGATGGGGCTCTCCGAGCGTGCCTATACTTCTTCCGTACGCCGGGCGTGAGGTTCATCTCCACCTCGATATACCATTGATGAGGGAGAGAATGGGATGAAAGGGCTCCTCTTCCGAGAGGGACCCCAGCGCAGGAGGGACTGTCTCACTGTACCCGTTGACTGGTGCTTTCCTTCTCTCACCGTCAGAACTGGAGGAATTGCCGGGCGTAGAATAAAGAAAAAGAAAAAAGGCTAAAATCCTGGGCAGGAAGCAGGGATTGCAATGCACAGGATGCTGCAACCGAGTTCATGGTTTGGATTGGGAATCTGGCTAGAATGGCAGAAGGAATATTCTTTGGGCCGGGGTTCTACCTTCTATGTAGATAGGAAGATATACATCGTAGAGCCTTATTTTTGCATCTTTTACATGATGATCATCCTTTCCTTTTTTTGCTTTTTCTTCTTCGTTTTCTTTTGAGATGACATCTGTCTACGGAGTTCAAGGACCTGGAAGTACCCCAGTAGCGGTTGGTAATAATCCTCGTGGATATAGCCTGGTACGCAGGAAAAACATCCAATACCCTGTTGGAACTGATTCAGACAGGCTGGGTGACGGATTCAATTTGCTGGGCTTCACAGTCCATCCAGCTGAATCACTTCTGACTTGTGTTGTGATTATCATTTACTTCGTAATGTTCACCGACAGAGATTATTCGCGTACTTCGTAGGGTTTGATGGTTCTGTTCGAGTCTCTGTACCCGACCAACGAGTAAAAATAAAAAAATAAAAAAATAAAAAAAAGAAAAGAAAAGAAAAGAAAAAAGGAAAAAAAAGCCAGCAGACAGACCGAGACCAGACAAGACCCAAGGCAACTGCTCGCAAACTCACTAACCCCTCCCCCGTCAATAGTATTATTGATTTTTATTCCCTTATTCCCTTATTATCTTAGCATTTGGTATTATTATTATTATTATTATTATTATGATTATTATTTTCCTCTTCATCTCTGGAACCTGATTTTCGACCCATTTTGGTTCCCTTGAGATTGGTTTTCCTATCATCTTGGCCTCCCATCTCACTCTCGCTCTCTCTCTTTCCCTCCCTCGCCCCGTCTTCTTGCTCTGTCTGCTCCTCTCTCACCTCCAACAACCCACACTTGTACAAGACAGACAAGACAGAACCCGCTGACTGATCGAGGTTCGCATCCCCACCGACTTAAACCCGATCAATCGGCGGTCGTCCAATCCCAGGCGTTTCCTGCCCCTTTCAGTATTTTCATCCACCCTTCCAGAGTTCCCTTAACGAACCTCGCTTTTTCCCTCCCCGCCCGAACTCTCTCCCTCTCCCCTTCTTTTTTGCCCGTCCGTGGTTGTTTCGTTGTTTCGTCTCTATCTTGTGTTTCGGGGTCCCAGTCCCGGTCTTGTCCCCCAACCTACTTTACTTGACCTCCATCTATCATCGAACCTCGCTCTATCTCTATCATTCACACCACTTAAGTCCTATTTCCCGACCCGACTGCCCACAAATCCACCGGAATCCTGGCCCTTTTCGACCTTTCTGGCTCTCCACAAGACAACCCCCATGTCGTTTTAGCAGACTCGCCCGATCATTCGTGTCAGTAACACACGGCTTCCTGTTAGGTAGGTGCATCCATCGTCAACTATTTTCTCGCATCCGTCGTTTAATTTTCAACGCCCTGTTTTTTTCCCTTCCCTGTCTCCCCTTGACGCCTGTTGCTTTTTTCGCTGTATGTCCCCTTGGAAATTCTGTTGTTCCTTCTTCCCCCAGTTCCTCTTGGTCCCTCCTTCAGTCATCTGACTACCGTCTTTAATTCTCTTCGAATTTATCCATTTTATTTTATTTTATTTTATTTTTCATTTTTCATTTTCTTTTGTCATCTTGTCATCTATTCCCTTTTCTGTTTTGTCCACCCTCCTTCGTCCACTTGTTCCCCTTCTCCCCATCTTCTGCCCACCCCTTTGTTGCTTAGACATTTTGAGTTTGGTCGCACCTCGATAGACGGTCTTCCCCTCGGATTAAAATTCATCTTCACTCATCTGATTTGATCAGCTCTTATCTTGTTTTCTCAACCCTTTTCTTTCTTCAAGTTTTTTTCCATCCTTGATCTGTTCTCTGTTGTTGATCGCCCGTTGAATTGTTCAAATTTTTCTTTGACTTCTCGGATACATTTCTCATTTTCGTGATCTTCTAGACGAAACTTTAGACGTGAGGAGGACCGCCCGAATCGAGAAGAGATCTCAGAGAAAGAGAAAGGAAACAAACAAAAAAAGCAAACCGCACAACACACCAAAAGCTTTGCGACATCCATACTTATGTCCGTTTTTGATTGAGTCGTCCTAGGGCACAATGGCTGGCGCGGACGAAACGCTCGCGGCCGCTGCTGCCATCCTACAAAGTCTTGCCAGAGATACCCCTCGCTCCGGTTCCTCTCCCCCGTTCGACTTCCAGTTCCCCCAACCTTCCGCAAATGGCTACGACACGAAACCATCCAAACTACCAGGAGACCCTAGTCCAGCCAAGGCCGCCTTTGAGAATGAGTTGGAGGCGTTAATCCGTCGGGTTCATCATCTGGAATTCCAATCTGTCAGTCACCAGACACCCCCTGGAGTTTTTCCTGAAATATCTGTGTCTTCCCTCGACCAAAATGGGAAGGAGCCTGATTTCCTGTGGTCGTTTGGTCTTTCTCGCTCGTCGTCCCGGAAAGGTTCTAACTCTTGCATCTTACAGCAGCAAAATTCTCATCAGCAACAACCACCACTACCACCCCAACCAACAAGGCGACCGGCCCCCGGAACCCGAGACCGTGATGTGGAGATTGAATACGAGGAATCCGATGACGAGGAAGACTCGGAGTCGAGGACCCGATTGGTGCGTGAAGAGGACATCAGCTACCTACGGAACCATGTCCAGAAACAGGCGGAGGAAATCAGTTTCCAGAAGGATATCATCGCCCAAGTCCGTGATGAGCTGCAACAACAGGAGGAGCAGACCCGCCGGGCTCTGACCAAAGTCGAGAACGAAGATGTCGTTCTGCTGGAGCGAGAACTGCGCAAACACCAGCAAGCCAACGAAGCTTTCCAGAAGGCCTTACGGGAAATCGGCGGCATCATCACGCAAGTAGCCAACGGTGACTTGTCGATGAAGGTGCAAATCCACCCCCTGGAGATGGACCCGGAAATCGCCACTTTCAAACGGACAATCAATACCATGATGGACCAGCTACAGGTTTTCGGTAGCGAGGTGTCTCGAGTAGCGCGAGAAGTCGGTACGGAGGGTATTCTTGGCGGCCAAGCTCAGATCACTGGTGTACACGGTATCTGGAAGGAACTTACGGAAAACGTCAACATCATGGCCAAGAATCTCACGGACCAAGTGCGTGAAATTGCTGCCGTCACTACCGCCGTCGCCCACGGAGACCTGAGTCAGAAGATCGAAAGTCGAGCCCAGGGTGAAATCTTGGAACTTCAGCAGACCATTAATACCATGGTGGATCAACTTCGGACATTTGCGACAGAGGTTACTCGTGTGGCCCGTGATGTCGGTACGGAAGGTGTTTTGGGTGGACAGGCTCAGATCGAAGGTGTTCAAGGAATGTGGAACGAACTCACAGTCAATGTCAACGCTATGGCGAATAATTTAACAACACAAGTGCGAGATATTGCCACGGTCACCAAGGCCGTGGCCAAGGGTGACCTTACCCAGAAAGTCCAGGCCAACTGCAAGGGAGAAATCGCGGAGCTGAAGAATATCATCAATTCCATGGTGGACCAACTGCGTCAGTTCGCTCAAGAGGTGACGAAAATTGCCAAGGAGGTCGGCACGGATGGTGTTCTCGGTGGCCAAGCGACGGTGAACGACGTGGAAGGCACCTGGAAGGACTTGACCGAGAATGTCAACCGGATGGCCAACAATCTCACCACCCAGGTCAGAGAAATTGCCGATGTCACCACCGCGGTCGCGAAGGGTGATCTGACCAAGAAGGTCACCGCCAATGTCCAAGGCGAAATACTGGATTTGAAGAGTACGATCAACGGCATGGTGGACCGACTAAATACGTTCGCCTTCGAAGTTAGCAAGGTCGCTCGTGAGGTCGGAACAGACGGTACGCTAGGTGGCCAGGCCAAGGTTGACAACGTGGAGGGCAAATGGAAGGATTTGACCGATAACGTCAACACTATGGCCCAGAATTTGACCTCTCAGGTCCGAAGTATCTCGGATGTGACGCAAGCTATTGCCAAGGGTGATCTAAGCAAAAAGATTGAGGTCCACGCCCAGGGAGAGATCTTGACCCTCAAGGTCACGATCAATCACATGGTGGACCGACTCGCGAAGTTTGCGACCGAACTCAAGAAGGTCGCCCGTGATGTCGGAGTCGACGGCAAGATGGGTGGTCAAGCGAACGTCGAAGGTATCGCCGGAACATGGAAGGAGATCACGGAGGACGTCAACACGATGGCCGAGAACTTGACGTCTCAGGTGCGAGCGTTCGGTGAAATTACTGACGCGGCAACGGACGGCGATTTCACGAAGCTGATTACCGTCAACGCATCCGGAGAGATGGACGAGTTGAAACGGAAGATCAATAAAATGGTGTCGAACCTCCGAGACAGTATTCAACGAAACACTGCTGCCAGGGAGGCCGCCGAGTTGGCCAATCGCACCAAATCCGAATTCCTGGCCAACATGAGTCACGAAATCCGGACGCCTATGAACGGTATCATTGGCATGACACAGTTGACATTGGACACGGACGACCTGAAGCCCTACACTCGGGAGATGTTGAACGTGGTGCACAACCTTGCCAACAGTTTATTAACCATCATCGACGACATCCTTGATATTTCGAAGATCGAGGCCAACCGGATGGTCATCGAAAGCATCCCGTTCACGGTCAGGGGTACTGTCTTCAACGCGCTGAAGACCTTGGCAGTGAAGGCAAATGAAAAGTTCCTTAGCTTGACCTACCAGGTCGACAACACTGTACCGGACTATGTCATTGGTGATCCTTTCCGTCTTCGCCAGATCATCCTCAACCTGGTCGGCAACGCCATCAAGTTTACCGAGCACGGAGAAGTCAAGCTCACGATCTGCAAGTCGGACCGAGAGCAGTGCGCAGCGAATGAATATGCCTTTGAATTCTCCGTTTCGGATACAGGTATCGGTATTGAGGAGGATAAACTCGATCTCATCTTCGACACCTTCCAGCAAGCCGACGGCTCGACCACGCGGAGGTTCGGTGGAACCGGTTTGGGTCTGTCCATTTCCAAACGTTTGGTGAACTTGATGGGTGGTGATGTTTGGGTGACTTCCGAGTATGGACATGGCAGTACCTTCCACTTCACTTGTGTGGTGAAACTTGCCGACCAGTCCCTGAGTGTCATCGCATCCCAGCTAATGCCGTACAAAAACCATCGTGTTCTCTTCATCGACAAGGGAGAGAACGGCGGTCAGGCTGAGAATGTCATGAAGATGCTCAAGCAGATCGATCTGGAGCCGTTGGTCGTACGGAACGAGGACCATGTCCCTCCGCCCGAGATTCAAGATCCGTCAGGCAAGGAATCTGGCCACGCATACGACGTGATCATCGTGGACTCCGTGGGCACAGCACGGCTGCTTCGGACATTTGATGATTTTAAATACGTTCCCATCGTCCTAGTCTGCCCGTTGGTTTGTGTGAGCTTGAAGTCTGCTTTGGATCTCGGAATCAGCTCCTACATGACCACGCCGTGCCAGCCCATTGACCTCGGTAATGGCATGCTTCCGGCACTCGAAGGACGCTCGACGCCAATCACCACCGACCATTCTCGATCATTTGACATCCTACTTGCAGAAGACAACGATGTCAACCAGAAACTGGCGGTGAAGATCCTAGAAAAACACAACCACAACGTTTCGGTCGTCAGTAACGGTCTGGAAGCCGTCGAAGCCGTTAAGCAACGTCGATATGATGTGATTTTGATGGACGTTCAGATGCCCGTCATGGGTGGTTTTGAAGCCACCGGCAAGATTCGAGAATATGAGAGGGAGTCAGGATCGAGCCGAACGCCCATCATTGCACTCACAGCACATGCTATGTTAGGCGATCGAGAAAAGTGCATCCAGGCCCAGATGGACGAATATCTATCAAAACCATTGAAGCAGAACCAAATGATGCAGACGATTCTCAAATGCGCCACTCTGGGCGGGTCATTATTAGAGAAGAGCAAGGAGTCGCGAATTTCGAGCAGTGGCGAAATGCATCCCGTTCATCACACGAGCTCCGATAACAGCAAAAGCCCGCGCCCTACCGTGGAACCTAGGTCAATGACTGCAACCAGCGCCGTGAATCGAAGCAGTCTTGCGAGTCCCACTACCGAGAAAGCCGACGAACTTGCCGTGGAAAGGGTAAATTCTGGATGGTGCTCGAAAACTTCTTGAAACATTCTAACCCAGTATATAGGCACTGTTGCGATCCAACAGCTCGTGAGACGTTTTCAAAAGACATGCATGCGTTCGCTATTTCCTTTTCAAGTTTCGAGTGACTTCGATGCAACTTTATACCCTTTTCTCATTTGCGCGCCTTGTAAGAACTGTTCTTTTGCATGGCGACCTCCTGGTGCCTTTGATTATTTACCTGTTTGGATTCTCTTCGATTCACATGGTTATCGTTCTCTTCTTCTTTCGGGGAAACACCTTTTCTCTTGATTCTTGATTCCTCTAAAAACCTCCTTTTGACCTCTGCCTCTCGCTATCTCTTCTTTGTCCTCTGGATTCTATTTCTCTCTCTACCTCATCCCTCCCCCTCTGATGTCTTTTGGTCAAAACCATGCATGTGTTTGTCGCTGGTATTATGTCGACAATTCAAACGATGGCCTCGATTTTATCTTTCTTGTCTGATCGTATTATATTGTCATTTCCTTGATCTTTTTTCGGATGTTCTTTGATACGCCAGCTGTTTTCTGGTGTAGGGTGTTTGGCGCATGGAAACCATTGAGGGCTCTTCCAAATAAACCTGCGGTATGGGATGGAAACAAATATGGGCGAACTATGTCAATTTGCGGAGGAGCCAGTATCCCCCTCATCGATGGAAGAATACTCTTCTTGCATTTGTTGCAACGTTTTTTCTTTTTCTTTTTTTTCTTTCGCCCGGATATCTTTCTTGTTTTCTACTTTTCTCATCTAACAGAACCTTTTTCCCCCTTCCCCTTTTGAGCACCCATGTCCTGCGTCGGGGTATGTATTGTATTTAATCTCTTATATTCCTCTTTACCATATTTTTCTTCTATTTTCCTTTTCTTTATTTTTACACTAGCAGATGGAACTTGTTTGTTTGGAGAGTCTGGACGCTCCCCATCACCCACCGACTTCTTTTCTTGCCTTGTATTCCGTCCAAACGTTTATCTTTGGCATGTATGAACCAGACTTTCTCTCCTACCGGTAACGGACAACTTGACCGTCGTTGCGTCGGTGAAAATGCAAAGACTTTCGATCAAACTCCTCGTAGCTTGTTTCTGACCGGCTTGGGGGTTTACTTTTTGAATTTGAATCATGATCCAGTCGTAGTTAGTTCCATGCCTGAGTCAATTCTTAATTGTCAATTCTCAATTTCCATTCTCAATTTCCATTCTCATTATTTATTAACATTCAAATTAATTAGGGTTCAGGTTTCAATCCCTTCGTTCTCCTCTATCCTTTCACGATGGAATAGGATAGATGAAGTAGAATGGACAAGACATAGACGTAAGCAACCGAAAGATAAAGGATGTGAAAAAAATGTCACGCAACGTCCCTCTCGTTCTCGTTCTCTTGATTCTTCCCCACCCACCTCATTCATATCTATCTCCATTGTCCACTTTCCTTTTGCCCTTTGCTTTCCTTTCTCATCCTCCCCTATCCTATTAGACATTCATGCAAATAAACGATCGTGACCAACGAACCAATCAATCAAGTCGATCCCACTCCCTCCCAGAGAAATCAAAATCAAAATCAAACCCACCATCCACCACGACGGTAGACAAACGATTGAGATTTCTCCTCATCCTCACCCTCGCCCTCGTCCTCGCCGGCGTCCTCGTCCCCGCCTTTGTCCTTGCCCTTGCGACGATAGACAAATGACTGAGATTTCTCCTCACCCTCACCCTCGCCCTCGTCCTCGCCGGCGTCCTCGTCCCCGCCTTTGTCCTTGCCCTTGCGACGGTAGACAAACGACTGGGATTTCTCCTCACCCTCGTCCTCGTCCTCGCCCTTGTCCTCGCCCTTGTCCTTGCCCTTGTCCTTGTCCTTGCCCTTGCCCTTATCCTTGTGGAGCTTGAATCGCAGCGCACGAAGATAATCTCGTCTCTTGTCCCCGAAATCGGAGTCGGAATCGGAATCCGAGTCGGAGTCGGCGGTTTCATTTCTCTTTGCTCTTGGTGCTCTTGGTGCTCTCTTCTCTCTCTTTTTATTGCGGGTGGGTGTTTCTTGGACCTCCACTTCTTCGTCTTCTGAGGATTCGGAGTCGGATTCTTCTTCGGCCGGTGTGGGTGTTGGAGATGGGGTTGGGGTTGGTGCTGGTGTGGGGATGGGTATGTTCGAGAGTCGGGAGCTGGAGGAGGGGATTTGGATGGAGACGGTTGCGAAGGAGGGCCCACGAGAAGCAGCCGCGGAGGGTGAAGGTCCGGGCGTTTGCATGATGCTGACGACTCCGCCGGAGCCGTGCCCTGGCTTCTGGACTGGTCTGCCGGGCGTATTGCTGGGGCATGGCGGTGGGCAGGATGGGCAGGGTGAGCTGCCGCCTCCGCCGCCGGGATGGGGGCCTCCGCTGCCGCTGGGTCCCGCTCCGCCAGGGCCTCCGCCTCCTGACCCTCCACCACCTGATCCTCCACCACCTGGTCCGCCTCCGCCGGAACCACCACCTCCTGGTCCTCTGCCTCCTCCCGTAGGACAGGGACTGGCACTAGAACCACCACCACCGCCTCCAGGACCGCCTCCGCCAGTACCACCACCTCCTCCGGGGCCACCGCCGCCTCCAGGACGGCCGCCACCTCCAGTGCCTCCTCCTCCAGAGCCACCACCGCTAGAACCACCGCCGCCAGGACCGCCACCTCCAGAGCCACCGCCGCTAGGACCGCCTCCTCCGGGGCCACCACCACCTCCAGTACCACCGCCGCCTCCAGGGCCTCCTCCTCCGGGACTGCCAGTTGGGCATGGAGTTGGAACTCCACCACCACCTCCTCCGGGACCTCCGCCGCCGCCAGGGTTACCACCACCTCCGGAACTACCACCACCGCCGCCTGCTCCTCCTCCTCCACCTCCACCTCCACCACCACCTCCTCCGCCGCCGCCTCCACCAGGACCACCACCACCGGGGCCACCACCTCCGCCAGGGCCACCACCTCCGCCAGGGCCACCACCTCCGCCAGGGCCACCACCTCCGCCAGGGCCACCACCACCGGGGCCACCGCCAGGGCCACCACCGCCAGGGCCACCACCACCTCCGCCAGGGCCACCACCGCCAGGGCCACCACCGCCAGGGCCACCACCACCACCGCCAGGGCCACCACCACCTCCGCCAGGGCCACCACCTCCGCCAGGGCCACCACTTCCGCCAGTACCGCCGCCGCCAGGACCACCACCACCGGGTGAAGTTGTAGTAGGCTTTGGAGGCACGGAAGACGAGCTACTGCTCGGGCACTTCGTACGGCAGATAGTAACCGTAACCGTAGACTGACCGGGGCAAGAGGAAGCAGCAGGAGTCATCTTGATTGTAGGCGGATGACTGCGAGAGACCTCGGGCCCCGGCGGGGTCGACACCCCAGGAGGAAGCGGGACCTCGCTTGGCTTAGACGGAGCCGGGGTCGCCTCTGGAGGACGGTTCGAGGGAACCATTCCGTCAGGGGGAGGCTGGCCGACGGACGCAGGGACAGCTGCCGCATCACGGATGATGAGACCCCATGAAGCGGCAGCTAGGATAAAGGCCTTCGTCGAGGGAGGCATGTATCTTTGACTTGGTTTCCGCTGTTCGAATGGTTGTGATATTGATTGACGATTGATCCTAAGGTAAATCGGGTCGGATCAGGTGCAGGAAGATGAGTGTAAAGAGAATCAGGAGGTGGCAAAGAGGGGATATATTAGTGTAGTGAGATATGTATTGCAGTTTTCTGGAACATGATGGGCGTTGTATGTCATTAGATGCGTGTATTGCGTGTCCTGCGTGGAAATGGATGCTGCCCTATGGGAGTTCGTCGGAATCCGGTAATTATGACGCCAAAAGAGGATTCACACTGACGGAAATCCGATCCATGTACGTTCCAGACCTGCCCTGCCAGCAGGGTATCATGCCGGAGGACACTTCCGAGTCATTATCATGGTGCAAGGTGACATTCCGACTTGAAAAACGGGAAAATGGAAAATGGAAAATGGAAAATGGCAAACTTTTGGGGGGAATTGGACAAGAATCAAAAAAAAAAAAAAAAAAAAAAAAAACCCAGAAGCTGGAAAGACTGCATTTTTTGGGGAAGGGTAAAATAGTTTTGTGTGAAGCTGTGACGCTAGTTATGAGATTTCATGTTTCGTGGTGATGTGTATTTTGTTATGTATTTTCTTTTGTAGTTTTCAGAATTGTTTGCTTTATGCGTTTCGTACTTGAGCATTGGTCGAGAATGCAAGTGGTAAAAGGTTCGAGAGGCATCAGTAAAGTGCCAAAGGATGGCGCCAGCCAACATGAATTACCTTCACTGCGATGCAACAAGCAAGGCCGGCAGTATAGCAGCAAGTCGTGAAGACAATAAGGCCCCAGTATTCCCCGTTGCAACGCGAAAGTATTTCGCCTGCAATTGGAATGCCAGTGAGAGTTCTATGCACATGATGGTTAGATGGGTCTGGACTGATGATGAATGTTGAGAAGGATAAAAGAGGAAAGGTTTCTCGGACTTACCCAAAACTCACAACTGTGTATGACGTGGCATAATATCTGCCATAATTTTCAATTTTGCAAAGCTGTGAAATGCAAACTGGAGTGAGACTGATATTGCTGCCGCTGCCGAAGCCAAAAATGACACTGTATACGATCATCACCGGAACGCTGTTTCCAGCAGGAAGCCAAAGACAAGCATTGCAAACCACACAGAGGGCTACTGTCGCTATGAGGGTATTGAAGCGCCCCAGATAGTCAGCAACAAAGCCTGGAATCCATCTTCCGAAAAACGATCCTGCATTCAGAATGGCCACCATCTGATATGATAGTCGGTTAGACACGCCATGGGCCAAAGCATAAGAAGAAATGTAACTAATCGGAACGAAAAGACCCCACTCCACGAAGAAGATAGCAGCCGTTGTAAGGGCGAATTTGGGTTCCCGAAATATGGTAAAGTCAGGAAGAACGTTCTCTTTCGAAGCGGGTTTCTTCGGAAGTCGGGACTTGACCAAAAGACACGATACAATTACCAAGACCAAGCAGATCAAGGCAACAACACGGGTTGCCCATGCCCAACCGATCCTTGGAAATAATTGTTCAAGAGTAAGTGGGAATACAATTCCCCCAACAGAACCACCGGTTGCGGCAAGGCCAGTGGCAACACCACGTTTCTCATTGAAGTAATGACCAATGGCAGAAATTGCCGGAGTGAAGATGAGAGAAGCTCCTAATCCACCGGCAACGCCAATGACGAGCATGAAATGCCAGTACTGAGTGCAAAAACCCAGGGCAACCATCATGACCACGACTAATACCGAGCCTGCGAAAACAAGAAACCGAGGGCCTTTGGCATCGAATATAGGTCCGATTTGGACTCCACAGAAAAAAGTCAGAAATGCGTACATGCCAAATATCCAACCGATTTTGCCAGAGCTATACTCTTCCAGTTGATGACTCTCGAGGTATGCCTGGAACGTCCCAATGGTGTTGACCAAACCAAGAGAAGCGAAAAGGCCCATCCAGCTGCCAAAGACTACCAGCCAAGCCTCCAGTCCGCCTTCAGGGTAAGTATTCCCATCGGCATCGGTAGTTACACGGCTTATAGAAGTGCCATGTACAGAGCGGTGTGAGGGAAGATCTTCGGATGACTGCCTGTCGAGGTCATTTTCGGTATTCACCTGCGTATCTGGTGGCTGATAGGAGCTGGTATGTGTATGGGAATGCACTTGTTTTTCGGCATCGCTAGCATCATAAGCAGAATATGATGGATCAGGCAACTGCTTCTCTGACGATGGAGGATGTTGCGTGCTATGATCAGCGGCATGAGGAAGTAAATCGCTAGGATGCTGTTGTTCTATTCTGTCTGTATTTGGGCTGCCAAAAGGCCTGATGTTTGCGGACATGTCAGTATAGACAGAGGGCGAAAGTGGACCACGGTTGACCTTCGTCCTTTCCCACGCCTGTTTAACACGGCTCCGCTTTTATTCTCGTCCCGGGGTTTGAGGGGGGAAATATTGAACAAGCGAGAACGGGAAACACCAAAGGCGCTGCAAATACGAGGCGAGTGCGAATAAGCCCACAAGGTTGCGGAGAGCAGTATTCTCAAGAACAAAGTCTGGAGGCACAAGCACAAGTACCCGACGAAAGGATGGACCGGCAGATCTTATGGGTTACGGAGTTGGCCTCGAGCCTTATAAAGCAGGTGGGTTTTTTGCTCTCTCGTTTGGGAAGTGGGTTTGCCCCGAGGGAATAATTCCTATTGGTGAGAAGACCGAAAATTGAGCATTGGCAACGGAGATGGTTGATGGCGTTTTTCTTTTTTCTTCGGCGCTCACAATTCATCGGAGACGTCGGAGTAACTGGTAGGAATCTCCGATCAGCCCCCGCAGCAAAGGAACGACGTGGTAGCACTAGACAGTATAGGGAAGGTCCATGGAGAAGCCGCTCATGGTAAGTACTTAGACGGCTCCAGACAAAGCGAACATTAAGCCCATAACCACACGGGCCTGATGAAGAATCCAGAAACGCCGAGTGGATTATCAAGACAGATTTAGCCCTGTGGAAGCTGTAAAGTTGTCAGCTCCTGAAGGGATGGACCTGGATTATTGCGGAGCAAGGCTAGACTGGATACCTCATATCCGTACTGGAACAGCCAAGTGGGTCATCGGAGAAAGTTATGATTGGAACCAGAGGGTACTGTGTAGTGGTCATCGTGTCTTGGTCATTCAATCCAAGATTTGCGACCAGAAAGTGTGCCTCCATAAACCTGGTATAAAACTTAAGATGGAAGGACGGTAGAGGAATTCGGTCCAGATCTTTGATGCACCAGTGCGAGCCTCGGTTTCGAAGAGAGGGAAGGTCATGTGATCCCGGGGTTTGCTCCCTCGTTGCTTCCGCAAACATGTTTTGCTTCTCCACGAAATCAAAGGTGCAGCTTCACTTAGACTATTTGTCGTACATGAGCAATATGAATTACTTACACATATATAGGGCTGTTCACGATACTATATAGCCATGATTTTCGAATATCGCCAGTAGTATCGTCAAATATCGTTGCCGATACTATTATCGTAAATATCACATGACCTCACCTCCTCATGCCGACCTTTGCCTAATCTAGTCTTATAATGAAAATATTTCCTGCATATCACGGACTGTGACCAGCCTCCGAAGACCTTCCTTCGTGATACCCGATGACCTAACTACCCGATCGGGACTAGCTTCACAACCTAGCTTAGTTTCTTCGTTGAATGCATACCCTACATTCTCG